TCAAGTCACAAAAAACGTGTCCTCATGGTTTCCACACGGCTGCACAACGATGGTACAATGTCTGTGTCGTGAAAAAACACATGTTTTAGTTGTTTTCCGGTTGTCTAGTTGTATACTTGTATTGTGTGTGTTGTGTGCTCTTACTACTGTTCTGTATGTGCGCTGCAACACTGGAATTTCCCCCATAAAGATTCTATCATCTTGTTTTTTACATTGACCAAAGTAAACACATCTATCCAATGCATATGTGCAACACAATACGACACATGGATCAGAGAGAGACCAGAGAGAGACCAGAGAGAGAGAGAGCAGAGAGAGGGACCAGAGAGAGACCAGAGAGAGAGAGAGCAGAGAGAGGGACCAGAGAGAGACCAGAGAGAGAGACCAGAGAGAGACCAGAGAGAGGGACCAGAGAGAGACCAGAGAGAGACTAGAGAGAGACTAGAGAGACCAGAGAGAGACCATGAGAGACTAGAGAGAAAGACCAGAGAGAAAAACCAGAGAGAGACCAGAGAGAGATCAGAGCGAGACCAGAGAGAGACCAGAGAGAGACCAGAGAGAGACCAGAGAGAGATCAGAGAGAGACCAGAGAGAGACTAGAGAGAGACCAAGAGAGAGACCAGAGAGAGACGAGAGAGAGACCAGAGAGAGAGAGAGACCAGAGAGAGAGACCAGAGAGATAAAAGAGAGAAGAGAGAGAGACCAGAGAGAGACTAGAGAGAGACCTAGAGAGAGACCAGAGAGCAACCAGAGAGAGACCAGCGAGAGACCAGAGAGAGAGACCAGAGAGAGACTAGAGAGAGACCAGAGAGAGAGAGAGACCAGAGAGAGAGACCAGAGAGATAAAAGAGAGAAGAGAGAGAGACCAGAGAGAGACCAGAGAGAGACCAGAGAGAGACCAGAGAGAGACCAGAGAGAGACCAGAGAGAGACCAGAGAGAGACTAGAGAGAGACCAGAGAGCAACCAGAGAGAGACTAGAGAGAGACCAGAGAGCAACCAGAGAGAGACCAGAGAGAGACCAGAGAGCGAGACCAGAGAGAGAGACTAGAGAGAGACCAGAGAAAGACCAGAGAGAGAATAGAGAGATACCAGAGAGAGACAGAGAGAGACAGAGAGAGACCAGAGAGACTACAGAGACCTGTGTTCATTGGTCCATTTTCTAATCTGCTGTCGGCCAATCAACAACTCTGTAAAGTCCCTGTTGATGTGACTGCTGCAGTAAAACAGTGATTAATGAAGAGGCTGTGTTTCCAGTGGGAGTGAGAGACCGACCTGCAGGGGGCGATGTGCGGCTGCCACACCACACTGTGGAGACACCAGAGCATCACAGGTGCATGATGGGAAGGGACGCACGCTGCCAAACACACAACAGGAGACAGTGGGGACCATGTGACCAGATAGAGGCAAGGTTTTTGGTATAGCACATAGTTCATACACAAGGCAGTAGGACCAGAGAGGAGCCCCAGAGCCGCACAGCGCGACAGAGCGGAGCCCAGCACCCCCTCGCGCGCCTTGTAGTAGTATAGTAGTAGTAGTAGTAGTAGTAGTAGTAGTAGTAGTAGTAGTAGTAGCGAGGAGGAGACCCGACAGAGAGGGACCCCCCCACACACCCCCCCAGTAGGATAGACTCTCACGGCAATCTAGACTAGGAGAAACCGCCGCGAGACGAAACACACCACCACCACCCCGGCGATACCCGCGAGCCCCGCCCCCCCTTGCCACGCCCCCCACCGACCCCCTCCCCGCCGGTCAACCGGACAAGAGACCCTCACCAGTAACACCCACACCATAGAGGCAAAAAACCAGAGAGAGAACTTAGTATCTTAAGAGAGTAGGTACTTCCAGAGAGAAGAAAAGGAAACGACCGCGCAAGGCCAGGAGAGCAAAAAGGAAACAACCAGGGAGAAGGAGAGACCAGAGAGAGAAAACTAGAGAGAAACCAGAGAGCGAGACCATAGAAACGAGACCAAAGAAACAACTGTAGATTAAACTTGAGAGGAGTGGTAAAGAGGGACGGACACTCAACCAGAGAATTAGACCCGCAAGACCCCCACCAAAGACCCAGAGCACCCCGCGAGAGTGCAAATAGAGACAGAGATAACATATAACACCAAAAAGAGAGACCAGAGAGAACCCCATCGAGGAAGGCCCCAAAGACTTACAGAGACCTTTGATTCATTGGTCCATTTCCTCTAATCTGCAGTCGCCAATCAACTCCTCAGTAAAGGTCCCTGTTGATGTGACTGCATGCCGTAAAACAGTGAATTAATGACGGAGGCAGTGTTTCCTAGAGGGAGTGAGAGACGCTGAACCAGCAGGGGGGGGGCGACGGCGGCTGCCGAAACACCACACTGTGGAGACCACCACCCGAAGCATCACAGGTGCCTGATGGGAAGGGACGGGCACGCTGACCCAAACACACAACAGGAACAGAGGACGCAAGAGAACCCCAGATAGAGGCAATGTTTTTGGTATAGGCCCATAGTTTCATAACACACGGCACAGTTAGTTGTAAGTAGTAAGTAGTAGTAGAAGTAGTAGTAGTAGTAGTTAGTTCGTGATATAGTAAGTATATAGAGGCAGATCGTAGTAGTGTGATATAAGTATATAGGTAGTCGTAGTAGTAGCAGTAGTAGTGATAGTAGTAGTAATAGTAGTAGGCAGTAGTATAGTAGTTATTGATAGTAGTAGTAGTAAAGCAGTAGTAGTAGTGATATGTACGTGTAGTAGTAGTATGTAGCAGCAGTAGAAGTATAGTAGTAGCATTAGTAGTAGTAGCAGTAGTAAGTAGTGATAGTATAGTTGTTGTAGTAGCAGTAAGTAGAAGAAGCAGTAGTAGTAGTGGATAGTAGTAGTAGTTGTATTGCAGTAGTATAGTAGTGAGTAGATAGTAGTGATAGTCAGTAGTAATAGCAGTACTAGTTTTAGGATTAGTAAGTAGTAGTAGTGAATAGTAGTAGTAGCATTATTAGTAGTAGTAGTAGGGCAGTAGTAAGCAGTAGTAGTAGCATAGTAGTAATATAGTAGCAGAGTATTAGTGATCGTAGTAATAGTAGTAAGTTGTAGTCAGTCGTAGTATTGATAGTATTATCGTAGACGTAGCATAATAGTAGCAGTAGTAATAAGATAGAGTAGTAAGCATACACGACTTTGCTCGACGTACGACCGTTGTTCGAAGCCGAAGACGTCAGACTCCGCCAGTCACGTAGACTAAGCATTCGACGTATGATATACTACGTCTACGTAACCGACGTATATCATAGTGATCTAAGTCGTCATCATTCTAAGATCGTAGACGACGAAGTAGACGACAACGCCGTCTACGACTGACTCCTACGTACTACGAGAAAGTAGAAGAACACGGCCGACTACGACGTACGTCACGAAGACGTCGTTATATATCGTCGAAGTAGTACGCAGTAGAACAGACGATCGTAGTCTTCGATCGTCTCCGTTCCTCTTCACCGATCTCGTCAGCGACGATAGGTCGAAGCAGATTAGAAGACGACTAGTAGTCGTATGCATCGAAGATCGTCCTCGCCGATAGTAAGACGTAGTAGGTAAAGTCTAAGTATGTCGTCGTGCAAGTACTACGATCAATACGACTTCCACGCACTAGCATAAGTTATCTACTACCTTCTACATCGCTAAGTATTGCCGTAGTATCCTAAACGTCCGTATAAAAGATCAGTCGCCGTAGTAGATAGTCGGTTCATTAGTAGCATTAATACTGATTCTTCATTAGACGTAAGAGTAATTAGTCTCGTCTACGTAAGTATCAGCAGTACTAGTCATTAGTCGAGCTCCCCACTAGCCGCATTGTGCAGCAGCAGTAACTTGGTAGAAGGACAATTACCCACGTCTAGGGCCCAGAGAACAGAGAACCACAATTGAGAAGAGAGAGGGACCCAAGCGTGAGACAAGAGCGACAAGAGAGAGCGGCAACGCATGCTGTTGGAGGAAGAGGAGAAACCAGAAAAGGAGAGGGGGGAGGAGATAGACCCCCGCCAGATTCACCCCCCTGGTCCCGGCCAACTCCCTACCCGTCTCAGGGGAGGGCCGCGCGTGAGACCCGCTGCGAGCTGCGCGCCAGCCCCCCCCCCCCCTAGCTCTCTCTTCCTCGCTCTCCCCCTCCCACCAGCGGTGCAACTTGCCCGCCTTGCCCCCTCGGGGCCCGTCCTTTGCTGCCGTCATCGCTTTGTACAGCTCGCCCCCGAGATCGCGAGAAAAACCCCATCCCAGCCGTCGGGAGAGCCCCCGGTACCCCCGCAGTATGCTAGGGGGGCGAGCCCCACCTCCCCGACAACAGAGACACCGGCCCAGGAGCAGCTCCGCCCTGAGCTCCTTGCCACCCCTCTTCTCGCCCCTCAGACACTCGCGCCCGCTGCCCCTTTCTCTCTCCTCACCCCCCCGCTGCTTCTTTCTCTGCTTACGCTCCAAGCGCTACCACCGCCCCGAGGCACACCACCACCGCCGCCCCCGAGCTATCGAACCCCTAGATAGAACCACTCTGTGTGCGCAACCATACCAGCAACCCAGACCCACCCGCGCAGCGATCACCCACACCGAGCTAACCCGGGCAACAGCCCGAGAGACATAACGGCGATACCAGAGCAAGCCACCATACGTCTCTTTTAATATCGCAAACCACACTTTGTCCATCAAACGACCACATCTTCTTTCTCGTTTATATCCAAAACAAAACTATTTATATTGGTTTTATCTGGATTCCACAGTCGTTTTTTCTCACTGTGCTGAGATCAAGAGGCGCGGCGGAAGTTTGTGGTCGCACTCCACGGCAGAAACCGAGGCGATCGGGGTCACGATGTTTTATACTCCAGGAGCCCCATGTTGTGCTCTGTTCGTTCCGTTGAAGATTAAAGTTACAAAGAAGATAACAACGATACACCTTCTTCATAAACACGCTTACCCTACCTTCTCAGCTCAAAACAAAAACCAAAAAAAGATCAACCCGTACAGAAAAACCACGGGGGGGGACGGGGGGGGTCAGGACAAACAAACTAGCGGAAGTGAAATATCATGCGTACAGATCCCCATCCTACATCTCTTTTTTCCTTTTTTTATTCCCTTCCCTCTTTTTTTTCTTTTTCTTTCTCTTTTCCCCTTTTCTCCCCCCCCCCCCCTTTCCCATTTCCCCCCCCTCCTCCCCTTCCCCCTCCCTCCCCCCCCCCCTCCCCCCTCCCCCCCCCTTTTTCCTCCCTTTTTTTTTCCTCCCCCTCGCCTTTTTTTATTTTATCCCTCCCCTTTTTTTTATTTTTTTTTCCCCTGTTCCCCTGTTCCCCCCTTCTTCTCTCCTCACTCCTCTCCGCTCCCCCCATCGCTTTCTCTCTCTCTCTCCCAGTCCTTCTCCCCCGGACTCCCCCCTCCTCTACTCCGCTCTCCCTTCTCTTTCATCGACCATCTCTCCCCTCGCTCACTCTCTCTCCCCTTTCTTTTTTTTTTTTTTTTTTTTTTTTTTTTTTTTTTTTTTTTTTTTTTTTCTTTTTTTTTTTTTCTCTTTTCATCTTTTTTTTTTTTTTTTTTTTTTTTTTTTTTTTCTTTTTTTTTTTTTTTTTTTTTTTTTTTTTTTTTTCTTTTTTTTTTTTTTTTTTTTTTTTTTTTTTTTTTTTTTTTTTTTTTTTTATTTTTTTTTTTTTTTGTTTTCTTTTTTTCTTTTTTTTTTTTTTTTTGTTTTTTTGTTTCTTTTTTTTTTTTTTTTTTTTTTTTTTTTTTCTTTTTTTTTTTTTCACTGTTTCATCCCCACCCTTTTCCCCCTCTCCCCCCTTCTCCCTCCTCTCTCCCTCCCCTCCGCCCCTCCCCTCCTCCGCTTTCTCGTCTCCACCAGTCTCCCGAAACTGGATCCTCTCACGCATCTATTCGACAGCGGTCTGCTAGCTCTTCTCAATTTCTCCATCTTTCTCTCAGAGAGCTTCTGGTCTCTACCCTTTAATCTCTCGCGGCATCCCCCGACTCATCAGGTTCTCGCCACTCGGGTCTCATCAGCAAGACCCCACGTCTCTCCCACTCTCGAATCTCTCACTCCCAACCTTCCCTCTCAACCTCCTCTCTCTCTCCGTCCTCTCACCCCTCTCAAAACCTTGGCGACAATATTTTCCCCTCACTTCCATCTCGCGTGCTCTGGCCCCTCTCCTCTCTCCCAACTCCCCATCCCTTCTTTCTCTCCTTCCCCTCTCCACTCTCTCCCCCCTCTTTTCTTCCCCTTCATTTTCTCTTTCTTTCTTTGGTTTCCTTCCCCTCTCCTCTCTCTCCCTCCCCTCTCCCTTCCCCGCCCTCCCCTCCAACCACTTCTCCTTTAGCTCTTCTCTTCCTCCGCGCTCGTCCCAACCTCACTTCATCGCTCTCCTCTTCCACTTTCCCCACCCACCCCCCTTTCCTCCCCCTTCCCCCCCCTCCCCCCCCCCCGTCTCCTCCCCCTCTCTTTCCTTTTCCTTCCCTTCCCCCCCCCGCTTTTCCTGTCTTCCCCCCTTCCCCCCCCCCCACCCCCCGTTCTCCCCCTTCCCCCGCTTCCCTTCCCCCCGTCCCCCTCCCCCTACTTCCTCTATCCCCCCCGTTCTTCCCCGCCCTCCCCCCTTCTTTCCTCCTTCGACCCCCCCCCCCCCGTTTCCCCCCCCCCCTCCCTCGCTCCCCCATTCTCTTTCCTGCCTCCTTCCCCCTCTCTCTCCTTCCCTCCCCCCTCCCCCCCCTGCCACCTTCTTCCTTTTCTCCCTTCCACACCCCATTCCCCTTCCCCCTCTTTCCCCCTTCCCCCCCCCCCCCCCCCCCCCCTCCCCCCTTCCCTCTCCTCCCCCTTCCCTCCCCCCTCCCCTTCCCCCCCCGCCCCCCCCTCTCATTTCCCCCCCCCCCCCACTGCCCTCGGCCATCTCTCCTCTCTTCTCTCCCCTCCTTCCTCCTTCCCCACTCTCCTTCTCTTTCGCCTCTCGTCTCTTTCCCAATCATGCTCCTCCCTACTATCTCTCCGGGCGCCGCCCCCCTCCACTCTCATAATCTCAGTGACTTATTGCACTCCTTCTCTCTCAGCCTGCCCTCATCCGCATCTCTCTCCTCATTCGCCCTCCCCTCCTCGCGCCCTGTCAAATCCCTCTCCCTCCCCCCTCCCTTCCCTCACCTTCTCCTCTCCTCTCTCATCTTCCCTCCCTTCTCCTTCCGCTCCCTGTCCCTCTCTTTCTCCCCTCCCTCTTCCCTTTCCTAAAAATCTTCTTTCTATCACATCTCCCCTTACTCTTCTCCTCTCTCCCCTCTCTTCCCCTTTCCCATACAATCATACCCGTCTCTTCCTCGTCCCCCTCTCCACTCTCCTCTTCTCCCCGCCCCCTCCCTGTTCCTTCTCCACCTACACACGTCTTCTTCTCCCCTCTTACTCTCCTCTCCCTCCTCTTTTCTCCTTCCGCTTGAATCTCGATGCCGGATAACACTCCCTACTATCGCGCCGAACTCTCTGTCTCGCCCTCTCCTCCATTCCTCCCCGTCACCCACCTCACGCCCCAGCCGCCCTACACCCCGTTCGACTCGGGGTCTCCTTCTCTTAAGACCCGTATCACCACAATGGAGAACGAAATCAAACTCCTGAAAGTAAAGGCTGATGACTTGGTCACCAAAAATAGGAGTAGGAGGTCAAATATTAAGATTATCAATGTCCCAGAAAGAGCGGAAGGCAACGACACGGCCGCCTTCGTGGAGCGCCTTATCCCTAGGCTGTTTGGGGAAGGACATTTCACAAGTCCGGTCGTAATTGAGCGAGCACACCGCCTGGGCAGACCCGCGGACCGGACAAGACCCATCATAGCAAAATTTCTCAACTACAGGCAAAGAGAGATGGTGCTCCGCTTGGCCAGAGAAAAGCACCCTCTGCTTCTAGACGACAACCGCATCTCATTCTACCCGGACTACAGCGCTGAGACCCAACGCAACATGCTCGCATACAACGAGGTGAAGAAGAAACTACGGGATAAAAACATCGAGTACGCGAGCCGCTATCCTGCAAAGCTGAGAGTGCGCCACGAAGGGGCATTCAAGCTTTTCTCATCACCCGCGGAGGTGGAAAACTTTCTCCGCACTTTGGAAGATTAATATCATCTGAACTAGACACAATTAGCGTTATTACCCCGAACACAGGTACAGACTGCATTTTCCATGTGTGTTGACACGTTCAAGATTGTCATAGATGTTTAGCAGTATTGATATACAAAGAAGCTCATACCTGGTATAATATCTGGTAGCGAAGGAGCATAAAAAATCAGCTAATACCAATGACTCCCGCTTGGGCAGCAGAGTTATAGTAGATATAGCTGTACCTACCCTAATGTTATTTTTGTTTTGTTCTACTTTTTATTTTTGTAGGGTGGGTTTTGTGTTTTTTTTTTTTAATATTACTTTTAAATGGGTTTTGGGGGCTCTCTCTCTACACATCAGTGTCATTGATTATACCAAATATACCTTGTTGATAATTATTTCGAAAACAAAGTTATCTGATTAATGGTCAATAGTTTTGGGCAAATAATCTGTATCTCAATGAATGTCAGAGGGATTAACTCTCCTATTAAACGAAAGAAGGTACTAACATATCTGAAGAAACAACATGCAGATATTGCTCTAATTCAGGAGACCCATCTCACTGACACAGAGCATCTGAAGCTGCGCAGGGACTGGGTCGGGCATGTCTTTTATTCCTCATTTACATCAAAAGCAAGGGGGGTAGCTCTGCTCATAAATAAAAACTTCAAATTTCAGTTAAATTTAACAGACAAGGATACATCCGGTAGATACGTATTAATTGATTGTGTTATAAATACAAACAGATTAACATTGGTGTCTGTTTATGGCCCTAATATAGACGATCCAAGTTTTTTTAACAACTTTGTTATGAGACTAGCAGAAACAGAGGGCAAATGTATAGTGGGGGGTGACTTTAATCTTGTTTTGAACCCTGCTTTAGACCGATCGTCACCCACAACAACCAATCGCTCCAAATCTGCAAAAGCCCTATCTCAAGGAATGAAGGATCTTGGCTTAAAGGACATATGGCGACTACAGAACCCTGTGATGAGAGACTATTCCTTTTACTCTAATGTACATAATGTACATAACACATATTCCAGAATTGATATGTTTTTAACTTCACAAGCACTTGTTGAAAAAATTAGAACCTGCTCATATTTAGCAGCCACTATCTCAGACCATAATGCCATAAAGTTAGAAATTGATCTGCTCGACTCCGAACACCATCCCGGCAATTGGAGATTTAAAACCTATCTATTGAAAGACCCTGATTTCATCAAATTTATGAACACAAAAATAGACGATTACCTAGAAACAAATATAAACACTGCCTCTCATTCAATTGTATGGGAAGCCCTTAAGGCAAATATGAGAGGTTACATCATTTCGTATATTTCACATAAAAACAAGCAAAAAAGAGAACGCATTGCACAGCTGGAAAGTGAAATTAGAGCACTAGAACTTATCCATGCTCAAACTAAACAAACTGGAGCTCTCAGCGCTCTAAAGCAAAAACGTATTTTATATGATAATTTGTGTACAGGCAGAGCTGAGGCTGCAATGGCCAGAACCAAATATCATTATTATGAATATGGAAACAAAACCAGTAGATTGCTTGCGTTACAACTTAAAAAAGAGGATGCTAGAAAACAAATCCATTGCATTAAAACTGATGATGGACAGCTCTTAGAAGGGTCCAAGGATATAAACACTAAATTTAAAAGATACTATGAAACATTATACAAAACAGAGCAAACAAAGGAGAGTTCCAAGGTAAAAGAATTTATGAGTAAGCTTCACCTCCCTAAATTGACCAGTGCAGACCGCTGTTTACTGGATATGGACATATCTGAAGAGGAAGTCTTCCTGGCAATGAAAAGTTTACAAAATAACAAGGCGCCAGGGCCAGATGGATACCCGATTGAATACTTCAAAACTTTCTCCAAAAAAATACTATCCCCTCTTACAAACATGATCAGGGAAGCATTTAAGAGACAAGCTCTTCCAAAGACATTAGAGCTTGCAATTGTAACAGTACTTCCTAAACCTGGAAAGGATGCACGGAGCTGCAACAACTACAGACCCCTCAGTCTTCTTAATTCGGATTACAAAGTACTCTCCAAAATCATAGCATTACGATTAGAAAAAATTATCCCCAAAATTATTCATGCTGACCAGACTGGTTTTGTTAAAAACAGACAGGGTGCAGACAATGTTAGGAGACTCTTGCATATTATTGACTATGCCCAAAAACAAAAATGATGATCATATCAATGGATGCGGAGAAGGCCTTCGACAGGATAGAGCCATCCTTCCTGTTTGAGACCATGAGGGCGATGAATTTTGGTGACACTTTCCTAGGCTATATTAAAACTTTGTTCAATGCCCCCAGGTCTCGAATCCTGACTAATGGAGTTCTGTCGGAGGCCTTCTCCCTTTCAAGGGGCTGTCGCCAGGGGTGCCCCAGCTCTCCTGCTCTATTCTCTATCGCTATGGAACCACTGGCGATCTCTATACGCAACGACACAACTATTATCGGTGTTGAAATGGGGGCGGAGAGGCATAAATTGTCCTTATATGCAGACGATTTGGTTGTCTTTGTCTCCAAACCAACCACGTCAATCCCTGCTCTTCTAACCAGTTTGAAAACATATAGTGCAGTTTCTGGCTACAAAATAAACTACACTAAAAGTGAAGCTTTCCCAATCAATCTGACGGAACAAGAAGCGCATTCTTTCCCATCAGATTTTAAATGGTGCCCAGATGGGTTTAAATATCTAGGTATTAATATCCGTACATCTTATGACAAAATGTTCGATGACAATTACATATCAATATTAAATCAATCAAAATCAGAATTACAACGCTGGATGGATCTTCCTTTATCCCTAATGGGTAGGATTAATACAATCAAAATGAACCTACTGCCCAAATTTATCTATTTATTTCACTGTCTTCCAATTAGAATCCCAGTATCCTTTTTCAAAGACCTAGATAAAGCCATATCATCGTTCCTGTGGCACAAGAAAATACCTAGAGTGAAACTTCCCACTCTACAAGCTCCGCACTCCAAGGGTGGACTAAATCTCCCAAATTTCAAATACTATTATTTAGCTGCGCAATTCCGAGCAATGTGGATCTGGCTCCACCCAAATGTGGAGGAGGTGAGATGGCTCTCCATAGAGCTGCACGAGCTGCATCCCTTTTCGTTATCAATTATTCCCTTTTTGGGGACAAAGAAGAAATTGTTAGCTTTAATGCAAAACCAAATCATTTTAAATACATTTAATGCATGGCAACAATTACACACTCTTCTTGGTCTGAAAACAAGCTTGCTGGCGAATACACCTCTTGACAAGAACCCTAATATCCCACGGCCCATAGCAGATGGAGTTTTGCAAACCTGGGTCAAGAAAGGTATAAAAAATGTCACTGACCTTTATATCGATAATGTATTCGCAGAGTTTAGCGAATTATCTAATGTTGTTATAAGTTAGACAAGCACAATTTTTTCAAATACTTACAAATCAGAAATTGGATTAAAAGTGAATCAAAGGACTTCTTTCCAACTAAACCAAATGACACACATTTGGAGTCTTGCCTTTTTGACAAAAAGCGCAGGACTACAAAAGGTTTAACGTCCACTGTGTATAGAATTGTAGTTGGAAACTTACCAGCATATGAAAAATCTTCAATTAAGACAAAATGGGAATCTGACCTAGGATGCTCCTACACGAACGAAACATGGGACAAATTACTGAAACTTGCTCAGACAAAACTTGTATCTACCAAACACAGACAAATACAATTCAATATTTTCCATAGAACATATTTCACTCCATATAGATTAAGTAAATTTGACAACAGTATTTCTGACCAATGTCAACGATGCAAAATATCAACAGGTGATCTTGTTCACATGCTATGGAATTGTAATAAACTGCACTCTTATTGGCTATATGTGATCAATATTACTTCTAAGATATGTGGCCTACAGTTGGACCTTGATCCCAAAATCTGGATCCTAGGAGATGTAGCCTCACTGAAGTTGTCATCTGCAAGAAAATATTTTGTGCTTTTGGCAGCCACCGCGGCCAAAAAATGCATTCTCACCAATTGGAAAGCCTCTGCTCCTCCCAGCCAAACACAGTGGATTAACGAACTCTCATCGTACTGCACCCCTGAGAAAATTCACCACTCGATTAAGGGGAAGCTCAAAGTCTTTGAACTAATATGGACACCATTTTTGACCTTAATGGTAACGTTAGACCTTGTCTCTTGATCTCCAATAGGATGTTTAACCATTATTTTACTGGTATACTGGTGTATTTTTTATTTACTTCAGTTTTATTATGTTGTAATTACACAATGACATATTGCGCTGTATAGTAGTAGAGAGAGGGGTGGGGTGGGACAGGGTTTCTTTTATTTTGTTCCTATGTTTAAAAAAAAAAAAAAGGAATGTTCTTCATATGCCTGTGGATCTGCAATGTAAACACATTTTGCATTCCTAATAAATAAACTTGTAAAAAAAAAATATATACATTTTGAAATATATATGCAGTATGTGTGTAAATAAGTTTTGCTATGTTACTTGGAAAGAAGCATAAACGTCTGATGAAGAATTACGGACATTGTGTTTTAACAATTTAATAACTTTTTAAATCAAGTGTTTATGTAACATTCAATTTAAACTTTACACTTAGTACAATAGTCTTAGAATGTATAATAACTGACCAGCTAGTTAGTTACCCACATTTAACTTAAAATTATACAGCTATCTCTAATTAAAAACAACTAATATACATGTATTTTAACGTGTGTGAAACAATTCATTTTGTTTCCCAAAGGGTCAGACAAAATTACCTTTAATGTTTATAAAGTTTAGGTCTGAAAATGACCATCTCTTGACGAGTCGATGACGTAACCTGCACTCAGTGCACTGTCCCAATTCCGCCTTTTGTGCACGCTTGCAACCTGCGCATTCCAACCCTTGCGTGCACTTCAGACACATGCACACTTCATAGGAGGGCGTAGGGTGCAGTGTGGGTATTGGGACTGGGCCTCTGAACTAATGGCTCTACGTAGACAGCATCCAAATTCATCAACCACAGCGTCTTAATACTTCCTTGTTCTACCTTCTGCTTTTTAATTGACCCTAGTAGCATCAAAAAACATATCTATAATGTCTTAAAATATCTTTGACTAAACTTGGCGCTAACCTGTGTGACTACAGTTCCAGTTTAAGAATAAAGAAGAATGAAAAAGGAGGTATTTTTGCTTGTATTCGGACGCAGCCACAAGAGGAGGAAGGTGATTGTGGGCGTGCGCGTACCTGCTTGAACGTGTCCTCTTCCCGTCTACACCAGAGCGCGCATTCTGCTGTGGCTGTTACGCGCACGCCCGCCTCCCTCCCTCTGCGTGAGATTTGCGGACTTGGTTGTGTGTCCGAGTTTGTCACAAAAAAACAGTTTAAAACCAAAGAATACGATGTCTGCGGACTCCAGATCCACGCGCGCGCTGAAGGAGATCCTCCGGTGCCCCGGGAATGACGTGTGCGCGGACTGTGGAGCGCCAGGTAAGAAGAGCCCAGTGCGTAAAGGTGTGGGTGCGTATGCATGTATGTGTGTGTGTGTGTATGTGTGTGTGTGTATGTGTGTGTGTGACGTGAGCCGCTGGACGAGGCTGAAACAGGGAGAATAACGTGTGATCCCTGCACAAAAACACTACTTACTTGTATTTCTTGCGTCTGCGTTGTGTTTCAGTGTTTATTACAGCGTTGTTACGTGATTTTAGGAGGGGGCGGGGCCTGCCGTAGCCGCAGGTAAAGCAGGGTGGATCGTTTCTGACGCTGCGTGAATCTCAATGCCCGAGGCCAAAGGAAAAGGCTTCAGGAAAGTGAAAGTGACTGAAATATCATTTGTCTTTAAAACAGTGTTGGACAAGCAACGTCAAAAACTTAATAAATTATGTGATACTGCATTACTTTACTCTACTACTGCATTACCTTGAAGTTACTTTCCCCAAATATATAAATACAAACTAAATGTAGCTTATGATGCTAGCATGAGGTTTGTTTGAGGATCAGATGTGTCTCCTGCTGAAGTCGCGGTGCAGAGGACAAAAACAAAACATTATTTAATTGTGGGTTAAAATATAAGTGAGTGACCCCAGGACCAGAGGGGTCATGGAGCTCTGACTGCAGACGCTGCTCCCTACTACTACTGTTTGTTTCTTATTAACCTGTCTCTTTGTAAAGCGTGTCTAGAAGAACTATAGAAGTTATAATTGTTAGATATGTTTTTGTTTAAATGACAGAGAGCAGACTCTCCGCAGACATGACCTGTACCTTGGTATTTAAGTATTTGGCCTCAGGAAAACGGGTTCAACGACCCGTTCATCAAAAATCACTGGAGGAAGCCGTCATTTTGACTGCTCCCTTCAAACCCACAGAATTCTGAGAAATTCCATGTTGAGGGTTTTTTGTACCGTTTCTCAACTTTGTGCTAAAACGAGTGAATAGAACTTTAAATCCAACATTAGCCTTTGTTGAAATGCTAACTGCTGCAAGTAAACAGTGTGTTGCTATGGTAACTAGCACTCTGCTCTGGTGTGTGTGTGTGTCTATGTGTGTGTGTGTGTGTGCACGGTTGTGTGGTTGTGTGTGTGTGAATGCTGTGATTTACAGCTAGCCATTATTTGTCATCATTAAAAGTAATTGTGTTGTAAAGTGCACATTTGCAAATAATAAAATCCCAAAATACTGTGCGCACGAATGCTCAAAACCATAAAACACGATGATCACCTGCAGTGTGCCCCAGGGCAGCTGTGGCTACAGTAGTTGTTTATCACAGCTGTGTAAGGAGTGAATGGATAATGACATGTGACGCTGATGCACTATAATAATAATAATTATTATTATTATTATTGCTATAAAATGTTTATTATCAACAGTTCTGGACAGTGGTCGTCCTGTTCCCTATGGACCAATGGCTCATATGCGTTTGTTATTAGTAGAGTAGAGTAGAGTAGAGTAGAGTAGAGTAGAGTAAGGTAGAGTAGAGTAGAGTAAGGTAGAATAGAGTAGAGTAGAGTAAGGTAGAGTAGAGTAGAGTAGAGTAGAGTAGACTAAGGTAGAGTAGAGTAAGGTAGAGTAGAGTAGAGTAAGTAGGTAGAGTAGAGTAGAGTAGAGTAGAGTAGAGTAAGGTAGAGTAGAGTAGAGTAAGGTAGAGTAGAGTAGAGTAAGGTAGAGTAGAGTAGAGTAGAGTAAGGTAGAGTAGAGTAGAGTAAGTTAGAGTAGAGTAAGGTAGAGTAGAGTAGAGTAGAGTAGAGTAAGGTAGAGTAGAGTAGAGTAAGGTAGAGTAGAGTAGAGTAAGGTAGAGTAGAGTAGAGTAGAGTAAGGTAGAGTAGAGTAGAGTAGACTAAGGTAGAGTAGAGTAAGGTAGAGTAGAGTAGAGTAAGGTAGAGTAGAGTAGAGTAGAGTAGAGTAAGGTAGAGTAGAGTAAGGTAGAGTAGAGTAGAGTAAGGTAGAGTAGAGTAGAGTAAGGTCGAGTAGAGTAGAGTAGAGTAAGTTAGAGTAGAGTAGAGTAGAGTAAGGTAGAGTAGAGTAGAGTAGAGTAGAGTAGAGTAGAGTAAGGTAGAGTAGAGTAGAGTAAGGTAGAGTAGAGTAGAGTAAGGTAGAGTAGAGTAGAGTAAGGTAGAGTAGAGTAGAGTAAGGTAGAGTAGAGTAGAGTAGAGTAAGGTAGAGTAGAGTAGAGTAAGGTAGAGTAGAGTAGAGTAGAGGGAACAATAGTGAGATAAAAAAACAGTGTATTCTATAAATAGAGACAGAAAAGTCCCTGTGTCTCAAACGTCTGCGTCAATAACAACACGACATTGTTCACTGTCCCAGAGGGGAATATAAAACTGTCCCTTTGCTCAGACTCACCTGTATCAGTCCCTGTGCTCTGGCTCTCACCTGTATCAGTCCATATGCTCAGCCTGTCACCTGTATCAGTCCCTGTGCTCAGTCTCTCACCTGTATCAGTCCCTGTGCTCAGACTCACCTATGTCAGTCCATATGCTCAGCCTGTCACCTGTATCAGTCCCTGTGCTCAGACTCACCTATGTCAGTCCCTGTGGTCAGCCTGTCACCTGTATCAGTCCCTGTGCTCAGACTCACCTATGTCAGTCCCTGTGGTCAGCCTGTCACCTGTATCAGTCCCTGTGCTCAGTCTCTCACCTGTATCAGTCCCTGTGCTCAGTCTCTCACCTGTATCAGTCCCTGTGCTCAGTCTCTCACCTGTATCAGTCCCTGTGCTCAGTCTCTCACCTGTATCAGTCCCTGTGCTCTGTCTCTCACCTGTATCAGTCCCTGTGCTCTGTCTCTCACCTGTATCAGTCCCTGTGCTCAGTCTCTGAAGTCTCCAAAGTCAAAAGCAAACATTCTACATGTTGTGTCTTGTTTGTCTCTGCTTCTTTCTCTGTGTTTGAACTTTACATAAGCCTCATTTCCACTGCTCTACTCTACTCTACTCTACTCTACTCTACTCTACTCTACTCTACTCTACTCTACTCTACTCTACTCTACTCTACTCTACTCTACTTACACTCTACTCTACTCTACTCTACTCTACTCTACTCTACTCTACTCTACTCTACCCTACCCTACCCTACCCTACCCTACCCTACCCTACCCTACCCTACCCTACCCTACTCTACTCTACTCTACTCTACTCTACTCTACTCTACTCTACTCTACTCTACTCTACTCTACTCTACCCTACTTTACCCTACTCTACTCTACTCTACTCTACTCTACTCTAGTTATACTTCCAGAGCAGTCGCATTCTCTTGCTGCTCCTCGCTTGCTGCTTTTTTATCTCCTTTAATAATTTTTGCTTAAATTTTTATTCCACAAAACACGGATTACTCCTTTTTACAAACTTCAACACAAGACTTGTGGAATTTACCTAACTTACAGCATGTCGGGAGGACGGGAAAAAAGAACAAAACTTTGCGACGGCTGTTTTTCACTCAAACAGGAGCTAAAACTTCTTCAAGACCGAATGTTTGTGCTTGAATCAGAATTGGGGCTGAACACAACAATACCAGTGAAAGGAAATGGACCAAATGGACAGAACGTAAGTTATGATGACGCTATTTCATTTCCCAAAATCAACAGAGACAATTGTTGGAACACATATGGTGCCAAGCCCAAACAAGGCAAAGCTAATGATAACAAGAGTGTCATAATGCCACAGCAAAAATCTTTAATTACAAGAAACCGCTTTTCACCACTTTTGGAAGATGAATCAGCAGTAGCCTCTCAGTCCCAGTCTCAGTCTCAGTCAAGGTCAAATGCAGCTGAGTCGCTCTTTATCGGGGATTCTGCGATAAGACATGTAAACATGCGTAATCTGAAGGTTCACTCAGTACACTCTGCCAAAGTGGATGAGATAAGGCTGTTGGCTCCGAGGCTTCTGTCTGAGACCGGCGGGGTAAAAAGACCACACCATCACTGCCTCGAAGGATCTCAACACCTCCACTGTCATCAGAAGCAGCTGCATCATCACCAGCAGCAGCTGCATCATCACCAGCAGCAGCTGCATCATCACCAGCAGAAGCTGCATCATCACCAGCAGAAGCTGCATCATCACCAGCAGCAGCTGCATCATCACCAGCAGCAGCTGCATCATCACCAGCAGCAGCTGCATCATTACCAGCAGCAGCTGCATCATCACCAGCAGCAGCTGCATCATCACCAGCAGCAGCTGCATCATCACCAGCAGCAGCTGCATCATCACCAACAGCAGCTGCATCATTACCAGCAGCAGCTGCATCATCACCAGCAGCAGCTGCATCATTACCAGCAGCAGCTGCATCATCACCAGCAGCAGCTGCATCATCACCAGCAGCAGCTGCATCATCACCAGCAGCAGCTGCATCATCACCAGCAGCAGCTGCATCATTACCAGCAGCAGCTGCATCATCACCAGCAGCAGCTGCATCATCACCAGCAGCAGCTGCATCATCACCAGCAGCAGCTGCATCATTACCAGCAGCAGCTGCATCATCACCAGCAGCAGCTGCATCATCACCAGCAGCAGCTGCATCATCACCAGTAGCAGCACCAGCAGCACGACCACCACCACCACCAACATCCTCATCCCCAGCCTGCTCCAAAGCAGCCACGCCTTCTTCATCTACAGCGCCTCTGAAGCCCCCATCCTCACCCCAGCCTACAGCAGACAGGCCTGTGCTGGGGTTTCCTCAACCACCTGCCCCTCCATCAAAGACTCCCTCGCCACCTCCCATGGACCTGTCTTGGGTCCCCCCTGCCACGTCCACTCCATCAAGAGAGAATGGGGACACGTCCCTTTGTTTTTCATCCCCGCCTTCACTGTTAGACCTACCTGAACACTCTGCAGGGCTAATAAAATCGGCGATGAAGACTATTCCTCTCACACCCATATTAGCTAGATCTAGAGTCCTGTCCAACATGCTAAACCACTCCCCATATGTACCTCCAAAACCACCTAGGGTTTCCAATTCACCTACAAAAACCACCCCAGCCAGTCCCTCCCCTAACCTCATGACCATTCCACCCCCACTTCCCCCTCGTTCAACACCCAAAACCTTTGCCTCAGCCCACCCCGGCCCTAACCCATCACCAATAACCCCTCCACCTCCCTGCCCCCGTCGTTCAACACCCAAAAGCCACCCACCTCTCCATCCTCCTCCCCCGCCTTCCCCTACCCCTCTTTTCTCTAAACACTAGGATGCACAGGGTCTCTGCTTCGCAGCCACTGGCAGTCTAGTTAGAGGAGAGACCCGGCTGGGGCCCTGTCATGAAGCCACCTGTGCCATTCCCTTAGTGATAACACAAAGAATACATTACAGAAAAACATCTGGAGTTAATCAGTCTAATCTGGAAAATCTAATTCTTGTTCCGTGTAAGAATCAGCCAACTACAACCGCTGATCCTGAAACTTTGAAACTTGCTACGCTTAATGTCAGATCTCTTTGTAACAAGTCTTTTTTAATCAATAATTTTATTTGTTCTCATAATCTTGATCATATGTTCATGGCTGAAACATGGCTTGACCAAAATTCAGGAAATGCAGTAATAGAAGCATCACCACCAAATTTCAAGTTTGAATCTGAAATACGGGAAAACAAAAAAGGAGGAGGCTTATATTTCAATAATATTTCAAATGTAAACGTGGTCGATGTTGCTCTTTCGGATCATTTCTGTGTTTTTTTTGACATGTGTTTCACTAACAAACCACCAGTGGACTCTGCAACTGTACGAAGAAGGCGCATAAATGAAAATACGAGTGAACTATTTATGGGAATGATAAACTTTGAGAATGCATCGTATTCTACTGTAGATGAACTGTTTAACTCTGTCACCTCTAGTGTTTTGAATGTTCTCAATACCGTTGCCCCTGTGAAGGTTAAAATATTGAAAAATAAGCAGAAGGCGCCGTGAGCTAAAGCAGACTCGGTCAGGGCACAAAAGAGAAAGTGCCGGAGGGCCGAGCGGAAGTGGCGCAAGTCCAACCTCCAGGTTGATTACGAGATCTTCAAAGATAAGTTTTGCGAGTTTAACCGGGTGCTACGTAGTACGAGAGAAAGGTATTTTTCTGAAATTATTGAAGGCTGCAGCAACAATCTGCGTGTTCTGTTCTCAACAGATTAGATTAACAAACCCCCCTGTTCAAATGCCATTAGATCTTACTTCCAAACGTAAATGCAATGAGTTTGCTAATTTTTTCAATGACAAGGTTCAAGGCATCAAAAGCGCCATTGTCTCCAATCCACAGATAACAATCCAACAGCCAGAAAGGCTCTCTGAGCTAACTCACTTTGCACCTGTAAATGATCAAACTGTCCAAGAGATAATCTCCAGTTTGAGCTCCTCCACATGCAGCCTGGATGTACTACCCACTAGATTTCTGAAGTCTGTTCTGAGCAGTCTGTTACCTTCACTCACACAGATAGTAAACATGTCCCTTCATTCTGTAATATTCCCAAAGGCCCTGAAAACTGCAGTCATCAGGCCCCTGCTAAAAAAGAGCAGTCTCGATGCTACGGTACTTAACAACTATCGTCCCATCTCAAATCTGCCATTTATGGGGAAAGTCCTTGAGAAAGTTGTCTACCTACAGCTTACTAGATCTCTTATAATCAACAACTCATTTGATATGTTTCAGTCCGGCTTTAGACCCCACCACAGCACTGAGACTGCTCTCGTCAAGGTTACAAACGATATCCGGCTGAACACTGACGCAGGCAAAGTCTCAATCTTAATCTTGTTAGATCTAAGTGCTGCCTTTGACACTGTCGACGATGAGATCCTCTTACAGAGATTAGAGGACTGGGTTGGAGTCGCTGGCACCGCCCTAAGTTGGTTTAGGTCTTACCTTGAAGACAGGAAGTACTTTGTGGAGATTGGAAACTGTGTCTCAGATCATATGGCCCTGACCTGTGGAGTACCACAGGGGTCGATCCTGGGACCTCTTCTGTTCAATCTCTACATGCTGCCGTTAGGTCAGTTAATACGCAGAAACAAAGTGTCCTATCACAACTATGCAGACGACACTCAGATCTATGTCTCACTGACTGCAGGAGAACATGGACCAGTGGACTCACTCCTTCACTGTATCCAACAGATCAGTGGGTGGATGCAAAACAACTTCCTTCAGCTAAACGCAGACAAAACTGAAATGATTGTCTTTGGTCCCCAGAAACAAAGAGACAGCGTCATCTGTCACCTACAGTCTCTCTCCCTAAAACCTTCAAACAAGGTCAGAAATCTAGGGGTAATACTGGACTCAGACTTAAATTTTAATAGCCACATCAAATCAGTAACATCAGCAGCTTTTTACCATCTAAAAAAACATTGCCAGGATCAAAAACATAGTGTCTAAAGCAGACTTGGAGATTCTTATCCATGCATTTGTCTCCAGTAGGTTAGACTACTGCAATGGCCTGCTCACAGGTCTGTCCAAACAGGCTGTAAAACAGCTGCAGTACATTCAAAATGCAGCAGCTCGAGTCCTGACAAGAACCAGGAAGTACGACCACATTAGTCCAGTTCTCAGGTCTCTGCACTGGCTTCCTGTGGCTCAGAGAATAGACTTTAAAACAGCTCTGCTTGTTACAAATCTCTCCATGGCCTCGCACCAAAACTATATTAGTGACATGTTAGTCCCATATGAACCAGCCTGGACTCTGAGGAGCACAGGGACTGGACTCCTGTTAGTGCTTAGAGTCAGAACTAAACATGGGGAGGCTGCTTTTCAGATTCATGCTGCTAAAATCTGGAACAGTCTTCCTGAAGATGTGAGACAGGCCTCCTCAATGACAATGTTTAAAACCAGGTTAAAGACAGTTCTGTTTAGCTGTGCATACAACTGAGGGATTTTATATTTGTATCTTTCTTTTTAATGTTCTGTGATTATTTATGATTTTAATGCTTTCTTTTTTTGTTCAGCACTTTGAATTGCCTTGTGTATGAATTGTGCTATATAAATAAACTTGCCTTGCCTTGCCTACTCTATTCTACTCTACTCTACTATTCTCTACCCTACTCTAGACCTTCTCTCTCAGTCCTGGATCTACTGAATAGAATTGAATGTGTACAAGATTCTCAAACAGAGGTTGTGTCTCTCTAAAGCTGTTTGTTGTGTTGTGTTGTTGTGTGTTGTGTTGTGTGTTATGTGTTGTGTTGCAGACCCGACTTGGGGCTCCTGTCTGGGCGTCTTCATCTGTCTGGACTGTTCTGGAATCCACAGAAACCTGCCAGACGTCAGCAAAGTCAAGTCCCTCAATCTGTCGCACTGGGACGAACACGAGATCCAGGTCTGGACCAGGACCAGGACCAAGACCAGGACCAGGGCTACACACCAGGAAACTAGAGACACAACTGACCGTGGAGGACTTTACAATTATGGATTTGTTGTTGATTCCCACAGCAGATCAGAGAATCAAACTGTTTAAACTCAGGAAATGCAATCACACAAAAAAATATCAATATAAAGAAAATTATATATGAAAACAAGTAAAATATGAAAATTTATCTGAAAATAGAAGACGGAAATAATACTAGCCCCAGATGACTTGATTCTAGAATAAAAACATTTCAAGTATTATTTACTTATTTCTTAAAATGTTTTCTTAAATTATAGCCTCTTTAAACTAGTAAAATAATGTTATGACAAACTACATTCAAGAAAACAAAAACTAAAAATAAGCATCATTCATGTTTGTTTTAGTAAATAAATCTGACTGAGATTTTACTTTTTCAGTCTGGGGGAAAAAGTGAGAAACCTCGAGGAGACACATTGAAACACTAAAAACAGCACTTTGGTGATGTCACACTCGGTCCACTCCTAAAACAGACTATGGATGATCCCCTGCTTCATAATGTTTATTTCTACATTTTCTTTGAGTTTGAATCTGGGCCGAACTGAATCTTAAGTGCTGTAAAGTGCTAAAATGTGCTGCAAAGTGCTGTAAAAGACTGTAAGGGGCTGAGTAGAGTAGAGTAAAGTGCTGTAAAAGGCTGTAAGGGGCTGTAAAGTGCTACAAAGTCTGGCAAAGTGCTGTAAAAGGCTGTAAAGTTCTGCAAAGTGCTACAAAGTCTGGCAAAGTGCTGTAAAAGGCTGTAAGGGGCTGTAAAGTTCTGCAAAGTGCTACAAAGTCTGGCAAAGTGCTGTAAAAGGCTGTAAGGGGCTGTAAAGTGCTGCAAAGCGCTGTAAAAGGCTGTAAAGTTCTGCAAAGTGCTACAAAGTCTGGAAAAGTGCTGTAAAAAGCTGTAAGGGGCTGTAAAGTTCTGCAAAGTGCTACAAAGTCTGGCAAAGTGCTGTAAAAGGCTGTAAAGTTCTGCAAAGTGCTACAAAGTCTGGCAAAGTGCTGTAAAAGGCTGTAAAAGGCTGTAAAGTTCTGCAAAGTGCTACAAAGTCTGGCAAAGTGCTGTAAAAGGCTGTAAAGTTCTGCAAAGTGCTACAAAGTCTGGCAAAGTGCTGTAAAAGGCTGTAAAGTTCTGCAAAGTGCTACAAAGTCTGGCAAAGTGCTGTAACGTGCTGCAAAGTGCTGTAAAGTGCTGTGTGTGTGTTTCAGTTCATGGTGGAGAATGGAAACGACAAACTGAAGAGCATCTACGAGGCCGAAGTCCCAATTTACTATTACAAACCCACTCACAACGACTGTCAGTGAGTATCGTCCTCCGCTCGGGGTCCAAAGTGAAAGTGAAAGTAAAATGTTATTTCCATTTAAACCTGTTAAGTTGGACCTGTCTTTAGACGTCACATGGTCACACGACTATTACATAGATCCCAAAAAAACAACACAAATGACACACACATGGATTATTTTCTACAACAACAACCTGTGTGTCTGTGTGTGTATCTGTGTGTGTTTGCTTGTGTGTGTGTGTCTGTGCTTTTGACGTGCCTGTGTGTGTGCCTCTGTGTGTCTGTGTGTGCTTCTGTGTGTGTCTGTCTGTCTTTTCCTGTGTGTGTGTCTGTGTTTGTGTGTATGTGTCTATGTGTGTGTGTCTGTGTTTGTGTGTATGTGTGTGTGTGTATCTTTGCTTTTGTCCGTGCCTGTGTGTGCTTCTGTGTGTCTGTGTCTGTGCCTGTGTGTGTCTGTCTGTTCATGTTTGTGCCTGTGTGTGTATGTGTCTGAATATCTGTGTGTGTATCTGTGTGCGCCTGTGTGTGTGTCTGTGTGTGTGTGCGTGTGTGTGTTTGTGTCTGTGTGTGTATCTGTGTGCGCCTGTGTGTGTGTGTGCCTCTGTGTGTCTGTCTGTGTGTGTGTGTGTGTGTGTGTGTGTGTGTGTGTGTGTGTGTGTGTGTGTGTGTGTGTGTGTGTGTGTGTGTGTGTGTGTAGGGTTCTGAGAGAGCAGTGGATCAGGGCCAAATATGAGAGAAAGGAGTTTTCGGACTCGAGGAAACCGTTCATCTACGAACAAGGTACGATCAATAAAGTTCTGTGTCATTTGAACCTATGCAATAAAAAAAAAAAAAAAGTTTATTCAGAAGAAAAAACGTAAATATTCATAAACAAAATTGTTGAGTGTAACACGAACAGTTACTGAGATAGAGGAGTTTACTTTTACTTGTACAGGAAGTCAATAGGAGCCAGAGAGAAGAGCCAAACTTCATCCATGAGCACTTCCCTATTGGGCTTCATAGAGCTAGCAGGTTAGCATCGTCAGGCTATGATTTAGTTTAAAAGGACATTGATGAAGATACACATGTGTAAAAGAGGCAGGTTCAGGGTCCCATGTAACGAACGGTGGGACAGCGGGTGAATAGCAATGAACAGACTACAGCCAGGTAACAGACAGTGGGACAGCGGGTGAATAGCAATGAACAGACTACAGCCAGGTAACAGACAGTGGGACAGCGGGTGAATAGCAATGAACAGACTACTATTATTAAGTTTGGCGATAAAGACTGTTTTTGTTGTACCAGTTAAAGTCCTCCTTTTCTTTGTCTGTGTGTGTGTGTGTGTGTATCTGTGTGTGTCTATCTGTGTGTGTGTCTCTGTGTCTGTGTGTGTCTCTGTCTCTGTGAGTGTGTCTCTGTGTCTGTCTGTCTCTGTGTATCTGTCTGTGTGTGTGTGTGTGTGTGTGTGTGTGTATACGTTTTTCTCTTTGTGCGTGTGTCTCTTTCTGTCTCTCTCTGTCTGTCTCTGTCTCTGTGTGTGTGTCTGGGTGTGTGTGTGTGTCTCTGTGTGTATCTGTCTGTGTGTGTGTGTGTGTGTCTCTGTGTGTGTGTGCGTGTGTGTGTGTGTGTATATGTTTTTCTCTTTGTGCGTGTGTCTCTGTCTGTCTCTCTCGGTGTGTCTCTGTCTCTGTGTGTGTGTGTCTGGGTGTGTGTCTCTGTGTTTTGTGTGTCCCTGTGTGTATCTGTCTGTGTGTGTGCGTGTGTGTGTGTGTGTATATGTTTTTCTCTTTGTGCGTGTGTCTCTGTCTGTCTCTCTCTGTGTGTCTCTGTCTCTGTGTGTGTGTCTCTGTGTTTGTGTGTCCCTGTGTGTCTCTGTCTGGGTGTGTGTGTGTGTCTGTGTGTCTGTGTCTCTGTGTTTGTGTGTGTGTGTCTCTGTGTGTCTGTGTCTCTGTGTTTGTGTGTGTGTGTGTCTCTGTGTGTGTGTGTCTCTGTGTGTGTGTATCTGTGTGTCTGTGTCTCTGTGTTTGTGTGTGTGTGTCTCTGTGTGTGTGTGTCTCTGTGTGTGTGTCCCTGTGTGTATCTGTCTGTGTGTGTGCGTGTGTGTGTGTGTGTATATGTTTTTCTCTTTGTGCGTGTGTCTCTGTCTGTCTCTCTCTGTGTGTCTCTGTCTCTGTGTGTGTGTCTCTGTGTTTGTGTGTCCCTGTGTGTCTCTGTCTGGGTGTGTGTGTGTCTCTGTGTGTCTGTGTCTCTGTGTTTGTGTGTGTGTGTCTCTGTGTGTCTGTGTCTCTGTGTTTGTGTGTGTGTGTGTCTCTGTGTGTGTGTGTCTCTGTGTGTGTGTATCTGTGTGTCTGTGTCTCTGTGTTTGTGTGTGTGTGTCTCTGTGTGTGTGTCCCTGTGTGTATCTGTCTGTGTGTGTGCGTGTGTGTGTGTGTGTATATGTTTTTCTCTTTGTGCGTGTGTCTCTGTCTGTCTCTCTCTGTGTGTCTCTGTCTCTGTGTGTGTGTCTCTGTGTTTGTGTGTCCCTGTGTGTCTCTGTCTGGGGTGTGTGTGTGTCTCTGTGTGTCTGTGTCTCTGTGTTGTGTGTGTGTGTGTCTCTGTGTGTCTGTGTCTCTGTGTTTGTGTGTGTGTGTGTCTCTGTGTGTGTGTGTCTCTGTGTGTGTGTATCTGTGTGTCTGTGTCTCTGTGTTTGTGTGTGTGTGTCTCTGTGTGTGTGTCCCTGTGTGTATCTGTCTGTGTGTGTGCGTGTGTGTGTGTGTGTATATGTTTTTCTCTTTGTGCGTGTGTCTCTGTCTGTCTCTCTCTGTGTGTCTCTGTCTCTGTGTGTGTGTCTCTGTGTTTGTGTGTCCCTGTGTGTCTCTGTCTGGGTGTGTGTGTGTCTCTGTGTGTCTGTGTCTCTGTGTTTGTGTGTGTGTGTGTCTGTGTGTGTGTGTTGCAGGGCTGAGGGAGGGGACTCTGATGAAGCGGGGCAGGGATAACGGGCAGTTTCTCAGTCGGAGGTTTGTTCTGTCGGAGCGAGAGGGGACTCTGAAGTACTTCACCAAACACGACGTGAGAACCACACCTGTCACTAAGCTAAGCAGGGCCGGGCCTGGGTAGCACGGTGATGGGAGAACATGGATCATACACAGAGATCGAGACTAGAGTTTATGAGATCAATGTATAAATAAAACACATTTATTGAATTAGACGTAACTCATCCTGAAGAAATGTAAGAAATACATTAAAAAGAGATTCTGAAATTGCACTGGGACTTTCCGGTTTTAACAGTCTCTCTCTCTGTGTCTCTGTCTCTCTCTGTGTCTTAGGCCAAAGAGCCCAAAGCTGTGATCAAAGTGTCCACGATCAACGCCATGTTTCAGCCTGAGAAGATGGGAAACCCCAACGGTCTCCAGATCACGTACCTCAAAGACTACAGCACCAGGAACATCTTCGTTTACCATGACAGCGGAAAGGTACCAGGCTCTGAAACTGACTCTTTAGGACTATGAAGACTGAGGCTGTAGATCCAGGACTGAGGCTTTAGACCCAGGACTGAGGCTTTAGACCCAGGACTGAGGCTTTAGACCCAGGACTGGCCCCAGAGAAGAGGCCCCAGAAATACCCAGGACCCTCTGTGACCGTAACAGATAAAGCAGAAGTAAATTAATAAATCTATAGCAGTTAAATACATTACAGTGTGGACAGCCCCAGGGCAGGTGCGGCAGCAGCAGCCAGACTGTGGAGAGATGGTCGATTGGTCGGTTTGGAAGTGGGCGGAGCTCGGGACATTCCAGAACAAACCATTAAACTGTGGCCTTTGAAAACTGTCCATTCATCTCAGAAAAAAAACATGTGTCAGAATAATTAACATTTATGTCACATTCACTAAAGTTCATCGTTGGCTTCAGGACTTTCACCTTCATCTGTTTCGATAAAATAAAAAGTTAAAGCTACTAAACCTTTATGGATCAAAGTAACAAGTTTTTAGACTCCGCTCTGTCCAAAACACCACAACGACAGGTCTCAGGGGTCAAAGAAAAGAACACAGTAGTGGTTCATAGTCCGGCAGTTATAACAGTACCATAAATAACACGTAGGTTGGACACAGTGGGACCATCTCATCATGAGGACCTGATTGAAGACTTAAATGTATGTAGTAGGATTTTCCCGAATTTTAGAAAAGAACCACCAGAATGATTCATTATCAGGAGGACCAATAGTCTTGATCTAAATTAGTTTGCTGTTTTTTGCTGTCTGTTTGCAGGAGATCGTGGACTGGTACAACTCCATTCGTGCCGTTCAGCTTCATTATCTCAAAGTGGCTTTTCCCGGAGCCACAGACGCAGAGGTGAGCAGCTGTATAATGACACAGCTGCAGCAAGTTTGTTTGTATAGCACAGTTCATACACAAGGCCAATCAAAGTGCTGAACTAAACAAGATAGAATCATAAATATCCTCAGTGCAGAGAAGAAGTCTGTCTCACATTTTCAGAAAGATTGTTCCAGATTATAGTTGCGTGACTCTGAAATGCTGCCTCCTCATGTTTAGTCCTGACATTCGGACCAGCAGCCTGTCCCTGTGCTCCTGAGAGTCTGGTCTCTCTCTGGTCTCTCTCTGGTCTCTCTCTGGTCTCTCTCTGATCTCTCTCTGGTCTCTCTCTGGTCTCACTCTGGTCTCTCTCTGGTCTCTTTCTGGTCTCTCTCTGATCTCTCTCTGGTCTCTCTCTGGTCTCACTCTGGTCTCTCTCTGGTCTCTCTCTGGTCTCACTCTGGTCTCTCTCTGGTCTCTCTCTGGTCTCTCTCTGGTCTCTCTTTGGTCTTTCTCTATGGTCTTAGAGTCCCAGCATGAGGCTAGTCCCTGTTGTAATAAGATTATTTTGTTGCTGATATGAACCCAGATCATCATACGAGTTAAAAAACAGAATCTCTTGCTGGTCTTTGCAGATATTAAAAGCTAAAGTATCACGATCGTTTTGTAAATTCTTAACATATCTTTGTATTTTTTCAGCTGGTGCCAAAACTGACGCGGAACTTCCTAAAGGAAGGATACATGGAGAAGACTGGACCCAGGGTGAGACTCTCTCCCTGGTCTCTCTCTGGTCTCTCTCTCTGGCCTCTCCCTCTGGTCTCTCTCTGGTCTCTTTCTGGTCTCTCTCTGGTCCCTCTATGGTCTCTCTCTGGTCTCTTTCTGGTCTCTCTCTGTTATCTCTCTGTTCCCTCTCTGGTCTCTCTCTGGTCTCTCTCTGGTCTTTCTCTGGTCCCTCTCAGGTCTCTCTCTGGTCCCTCTCAGGTCTCCCTCTCTTGTCTCTCTCAGGTCTCTCTCTGGTCTCCCCCTGGTCTCTTTGTGGTCTCTTTCTGGTCTCTCTCTGGTCTCCCTCTGGTCTCTCTGAACAGAATCCCATAGGTTCGAATGGCAGCAGTTAAAATAATATTAGTTGTTATTTTGTTCCAGAAGTGAATGTGTGTGAAGTCGAGTGTCAATAAAGTTCTGTGGTGTTTGAATGGTGAGATTGAGTATGAAATATTGAGCAGTGACCGATGGACTGCAGCAGAAGTGTGTTTGTAAAGTTATCAACGGAGACTCCCACAGCTGTTTAAACTCTCTCCTCACGTTTCGCTCTCTCTCTGTGGTCATCGGAGACTGCAGCAGTTTGAGCCGACTCGCCACCCCCTCCCCAGACGCTTCCCTCACCGATTCACCTCAAATAACACTTTTTAAGCTTTCGACATTTCAATTTAAGGCTGGTCTCTCTCTCTGGTCTCACTCTAGTCTCTCTCTGGTCTCTCTCTCTGGTCTCTCTCTGTGGTCTCTATAGTCTCCCTGTGATGTGCATCTCTGGTCTCTCTAGTCTCTCTCTCTCTCAGGTCTTTCTAGTCTCTCTCTCTCTGGTCTTTCTAGTCTCTCTCTCTGGTCTTTCTAGTCTCTCTCTCTCTGGTCTTTCTAGTCTCTCTCTCTGGTCTTTCTAGTCTTTCTCTCTGGTCTCTCTCCCTGGTCTCTCTCTCTGGTCTCTTTCTCTCTCTCGCTCTCTCTGTCTTTCTCCCTGTGCTCTCTCACTAGTCTCTCTCTCCAGTCTGTCTTTCTCTCTGGTCTCTGTCTCTGGTTTCTCTCTCTTGCTTTGGCCTCTCTCTGGTCTCTCTCTCTCTAGTCAAGCTTCCTTGTTTTTGTTTTTCTTGCATGTTTGTGTGGATCGACCACTTTGTCCTAAACCTCCGTGTTATTTGTCTTTGCAGCAAACTGAGGGCTTTAAGAAGCGATGGTTCACCCTGGACCAGCGACGCCTCATGTACTTCAAAGACCCTCTGGTACCATTCACTCACTCTGTCAAGCATACACTTTTATGGTCTCTCTCTGGTCTCTCTCTGGTCTCTCTCTGGTCTCTCTCTGGTCTCTTTCTGGTCTCTCTCTGGTCTCTCTCTGGTATCTCTCACTCTGGTATCTCTCACTCTGGTATCTCTCACTCTGGTATCTCTCTCTCTGGTCTCTCTCTCTCTGGTCTCTCTCTGGTCTCTCTCTCTGGTCTCTCTCTCTCTCTCTGGTCTCTCTCTTGGTCTCTGCTCTCTCTCTGGTCTCTCTCTGGTCTCTTTCTGGTCTCTCTCTGGTCTCTCTCTGGTATCTCTCACTCTGGTATCTCTCTCTCTGGTCTCTCTCTCTCTGGTCTCTCTCTGGTCTTCTCTTGGTCTCTGCTCTCTCTCTGGTCTCCCTCTCTCTCTCTGGTCTCTCTCTTGGTCTCTGCTCTCTCTCTGGTCTCTCTCTGGTCTCTTTCTGGTCTCTCTCTGGTCTCTCTCTGGTATCTCTCACTCTGGTATCTCTCTCTCTGGTCTCTCTCTCTCTGGTCTCTCTCTGGTCTCTCTCTGGTCTCTCTCTGGTCTCTCTCTTGGTCTCTGCTCTCTCTCTGGTGTCCCTCTCTTTCTCTGATCTCTCTCTTGGTCTCTGCTCTCTCTCTGGTCTCTCTCTTGGTCTCTACTCTCTCTCTGGTCTCTCTCTTGGTCTCTACTCTCTCTCTGATCTCTCTCTTGGTCTCTGCTCTCTCTCTGGTCTCTCTCTTGGTCTCTGCTCTCTCTCTGGTCTCTCTCTTGGTCTCTACTCTCTCTCTGGTCTCTCTCTTGGTCTCTACTCTCTCTCTGATCTCTCTCTTGGTCTCTACTCTCTCTCTGGTCTCTCTCTTGGTCTCTGCTCTCTCTCTGGTCTCTCTCTTGGTCTCTACTCTCTCTCTGGTCTCTCTCTTGGTCTCTGCTCTCTCTCTGGTCTCTCTCTTGGTCTCTGCTCTCTCTCTCTGGTCTCTCTCTTGGTCTCTGCTCTCTCTCTCTGGTCTCTCTCTTGGTCTCTGCTCTCTCTCTGGTCTCTCTCTTGGTCTCTGCTCTCTCTCTCTGGTCTCTCTCTTGGTCTCTGCTCTCTCGCTGGTCTCTCTCTGGTCTCCCTCTCTCTCTCTGGTCTCTCTCTTGGTCTCTGGTCTCTCTCTGGTCTCTCTCTTGGTCTCTGGTCTCTCTCTGGTCTCTCTCTGGTCTCTCTCTTGGTCTCTGGTCTCTCTCTGGTCTCTACTTGGTGGTTGGTGAAGATACTTTCTCATCCCGTCTCTTTATGTGAGGAGGAGGTTTTTCCCCATTGAGGAAATCACATTATGTTGATGGTGTAGAGAATATGAAGTCATCCGTCTGCCACCGCCATCTTACACCTACATAATGTGGTGTGAGTGAAGAGAGTGAGACGATCAGAGTGAGACCGATTAATGAATCAATGAGTTAAAGGCCCAAAATGTTATAATATTAATCTGCACAAGACACAAGTTACACTGACACACACGGACTGATGTCTCTAGTCTCTCTCTGGTCTCTCTTTTTCTCTATGGTCTCTCTTGTGTCTCTTTATGATCTTTCTCTAGTCTCTCTCTAGTCTCTCACTCTGATCTCTCTCTGGTCTCTCACTCTGGTCTCTCTCTGATCTCTCACTCTGCTCTCTCTCCATTCTCCCACTCTGGTCTCTCTCTGGTCTCTCCAGACCTCTATCTGGTATCTCTCTGCTCTCTCCCTCTAGTCTCCCTCTCTGCTTATTGCTCTGCTCTCTTTCTGCTCTGTCTTTCTAGTCTCCCTCTCTGCTTATTGCTCTGCTCTCTTTCTGCTCTGTCTTTCTAGTCTCCCTCTCTGCTTATTGCTCTGCTCTCTTTCTGCTCTGTCTTTCTAGTCTCTCTCTCCGGTCTCTCTCTGGTCTCTGTATGACTGTGTAGCTGCCTCTGCTCTCTCCAGGATGCATTCGCCAAAGGGGAGGTATTTCTGGGGAACAAGGACCACGGATACAGCGCCTCCGCGGGGCTCCCCTCCGGCACACACTGTAACGGCGCCTGGGCCCACGGCATCACCATAGAAACGCCCGAGCGCTGCTTCCTGTTTACCTGCGAGACGGAGGCGGAGCAACAGGAGTGGATCCAGAAGTTCAACGAGGTCGTGAGCGCCGTCATGTCCCCGCAAGAGTACACAAGTAAGAGACCTGTGTGTGTCTGTCGTCTCTCTCTTTGGTCTCTCTTTCTAGTCTCTCTCTCTAGTCCGTCTCTGGCCTCTCTCTCTAGTCCCTCTCTGGTCTCTCTCTGGTTTCTCTCTCCAGTCTGTCTCTGGTCTCTCTCTCTGGTCTCTGATCTCGCTCTCTCTCTAGTCTCTCTCTGTAGTCTCTCTCTGGTCTCTCTATCTAGTCTCTCTCTGGTCTCTTTCTCTAGTCTCTCTCTGGTTTCTCTCTCTAGTCTCTCTCTGGTCTCTCTCTGATCTCTCTCTCTCTAGTTTCTCTCTGGTCTCTCTCTCCAGTCGGTCTCTGGTCTCGCTGGTCTCTCTCTGTAGTCTCCCTGGGCGTCTTTCTCACCTGGTTGTTGTGTGTTTGCAGTGGAAGCTCTGTTCAAACGCAGACATTGATGCGACGACGACGGTTTCTTCCACCTCTGCCTCCGAGAAGAGGACCTCACTGCACAGACACATGAACACACAACTAATGAGCTGCTGGAATGACTCACTCTTCATGGTCTCTCTCTTTGGTCTCTCTCTGGTCTCTCTGTTGTTGACCAGAGTGAGACCAGAGAAAGACCAAAGAGAGAGACCATAGAAAGAAACCAGAACGAGACCAGAGACAGACCAGAGAGAAACCAGAAAGCTGAGAAAAAACCAGAGAGAGACCAGAGAGAGACCAGAGAGAGAGGCCAGAGAGAGACCAGAGCGAGACCAGAGAGAGAGACCAGAGAGAGACCAGAGAGAGAGACCAGAGAGAGAGACCAGAGAGAGAAACCAGAGAGAGAGGCCAGAGAGAGACCAGAGCGAGACCAGAGAGAGAGACCAGAGAGAGACCAGAGAGAGAGACCAGAGAGAGAGACCAGAGAGAGAGGCCAGAGAGAGACCAGAGCGAGAGAGACCAGATAGAGACCAGAGAGAGACCAGAGAGAGACCTGAGATAGACCAGAGAGAGAGACCAGAGAGAGACCAGAGAGAGACCAGAGAGAGAGACCAGAGAGAGAGACCAGAGAGAGACCGGAGAGAGAGACCCTGATATAGGTGCTGGCATAGACCCAATTACTCTACATTGTTAATCATGATTTTAAATATGGTTTGGTTCTATAACAAAAAATATACTCTACTCTACTCCATTACGCTTTAGTATCTGGTACCGTATCCTAGCAACCTACTCACAACAGAGTAGGGTAGAGTAGAGACATAATCAAACAGCTTTAAGTGAAAGTATTAACAGATTTTGCTTCTTTTTAGCTTCATGATTAAATATTCTTATGTGCTGGAATCAAATATTTTAGTCCTTTCCCTTCATCTATAGATTGATATTTCTGCATTTACTTTAAACCTTTTTATACATGTTTCCTTAATTATCCTTACATTTGTTTTTAACTCTGTGTTTTGATATATACCTGAATGTGGCCTGTGTAAAATGAAAGCTTAAATAACGTCATTGTTCAGGTTTGAAACTGTCCATTTCACGGGGAGGCGCTGCCCCCTGGTGGTGGTCTGGTTGTGTATTTTTTAAATTAATAATAAAAAAGTGGATGCTTGAGATGTTTTTGTTTGGAGTTTATGTACACATTCTCTCCTTGTGATTGGCTAAATATTATAGACACACACACACACATAGATGCACACTCTCCCCTGGCAATTTCTGGAAGAGTTTGTAGCTACCCTTAACTTAAAGTTTTGCAGATCAAAGCCAGATCGTGTCAGACCTCTGACAGTAAGCACCACAAGGCCTGGTTTGTGCTGTGATGGGAGACCTCTAGGGACACCAGGAGCCACAGTGGGGCGAGTGCAGCTTTAAAGTGCCAAACTGCCGCTGTGTTCTTAGGCAAGACACTTCACACCACCACCAACCATTCACACACACTGGTGGTGGTCGGAGGGGCCAATGGCACAGACTAGTTGGCTTGCATCTCGCAGTGTGCCCCAGGGCAGCTGTGGGTACAATCACCACTGTGTATGGAGTGAATAAATATTGACATGCTAAGTGTCTTTGAGTGTTCAGAAAACCAATACATTATTAATATTAATAATAATATAACCTTTACTTGTGTGGATTTAAGATAAGCAAAGAGATCCTTTATTCGTCTAACATTGGGGAATTTGTGTTGTTGCAGCGCACAGACAGGACAGTAGTAAGAGAGCACACAATATGTACAAAATAAGTAGCTGCTATGTTTCTTAGCGAGCTGTAAATGCTTCAATATCATCCTTTATTTGTCCCACAGTGAGGAAATATCAGTTAAATCCTTATGACTGTTTACTCCAGACTCCTCCAGGCTCCAGAAACAAACACCTCGATACTTCTGCTTCTCTGTAAAACCGCAGATTCAGAAACTACCGAGGTGAAGTTGGCCGAACGTTTGATATTCGCCTGATATTCGCAAGGGACCGTCTGCAAATTGCAAGAGGTCAAAACGACTAATAAAGACTAAAAATCAACAAAGATATTTTTCCAAGAATTGATGGGTGTAGTAGCTCCCATTTAATGATAGCTAGCTACTACAGCCAAACTTTTGGGAAAAATATGGTTTTCCCCTTCACAGCAACAAAAATGAAATTGGAAAAATTCACTAAAAATCAACAAAGATATTTTCCCCAGTTTTTATGGGTGTAATAGCTCCATTTGAACAATAGCTACAGTCCTCAGCAGCAGCCTGACCCACATACCCAGCTCCTACATGACACATATCTCCAAGGGGCCTATCTCTCCGTCTGGGGCCCTCTGCACGGCCCTCGCCACGGCCCCGTCAGGAGCTCTCTGCTGGGTGCGTAAAGCCCCAGGTAATAAACCCGGGCCTGTGAACCGGTTCACACCCGGGCGTCAAAGCGCGCACACGCAGCCGACAAAAAGGGGACGACCCGAAAAGTAACGTTCTGTTCTTTCTGAGTTCAGTCTTTTCTCTTTGAGTCTGATCCAAAACTTGGCCATGTACGAACGCAACCACACTTTACAGGTCATTCTGTGATTGAGTTTGTGGAAGAGATTCTCGGGAAACGGCCGCGGGTTGAATGGAACAGCATGGAGCTCTGGGAAATCAGCGAAAGAGTCACGAGAAATGTTTTGTTTTTGGGTCGACGCAGACGTGAGCTGTCGGCTTGGGTCAGTTTGAAGAGTCCGAAGAGATAACGGGAGAAACGAGCTTTTTTCACAACTTTTCTAATGCCCAAGGTTTGTTGCTTTTACTGTAGATATTTTGAAAGGACAGGATCTTGAACTTGTCACCACTACGTTTTTGTGTGTGAATTATTGACACCAAAATGGTACATGCTCAAAGTGTGAGTTTATGTATTTGTTAATGTGACAAATATAAATAGTGACCCGAACCACCAAAGAACAAATAAAGACGTACCTCCTTTAGATATTTAAGAAGTCCAGTCCTCATTGACAGCAAGTCGCTCAAGGGTTTAGCCCTTTAATGTTAATTTAACGGGGTTTTTTTCTTTTTTTCCCCCTAAGATGTAGGAACCCCTAGTTTTTTTTTATTGTAGGCCATTACCAAATAGTTGAAATGCAGTTTAATTGTGAAAGTGACTAAAACCAAGAGAGATTTTAGTTCCAAGTTTCTAGATTAGTGGTGGCAAATCCCGGCCCGTGGGCCAGATGCGGCCCTTTGGATGCTTCTATCAGACCCCTGAGCTCTCCTCAATTTATATAGATTAAGATCAAGAGAGATTAGGATTAAGAACATTTATTCATCCCACAGTGGGGTAATTTCAGTTTAAACATCACACAATCCCCCTCTGTGCTGTGTGCAGAGCTATTTTTTCATATAAACAATACATTCATGTTTTAAAATGAACTGAGAAACTGAGTAAAACATTGGAATATCTGACGGCTGTCGGGATCCGGACCTAATTTCCAATGTGGCCCTCAGGAGGAAAAGTTTGCCCATGTCTGTTCTGGATAGTAATTAACAAGAGAAACCACCAAATGGTTGGGGAAACTATTAAAGGGTTAAGCTTCTTAAGTCTGGTATAAAAACAATCAGTAACAACCTGGAACATGCAGTACTCTGGCCCAGACACAAGAAGAAAAGACATATGGTCCATCTGCATATGATCCAACAAAACAGCAGACGACATGTTCTGTATTTGAATCAAGAGTAGAAGATGAGTTCAATTCAATGTATTTTTGTATAGAAAAAGTAAAATAAATCACAGCAGTAATCATCTCAAAAGGACAGATGTAAGAATCAAACCGTTTTTATCACTGCAATGAATAAAAAAACACATAGAGCTATTGGACCATAAAGGGCAGAGACCGATGTCCATAAATGTTGCTGAGCGTTGGGTGTCCTGGATCATCACTGTCCATGGACCCTCCTGCATCTACAAGGAAAAACTTTGTTAATGACTTTCTCTTTTAAGGATTTCATGTTCATTCAGATTTATATAACACCTTTAGAACACTGCAAAAAGTGCTGAAGAATAAGTCAAAAATTGATCTGAGCACATTCTGGCTCAGATGAGCCTTAAAACAAGATTCTCCAATGGGACGAAGCAAAAGGAACTTGTTTTAAAAAGATACAAGAAATGTCTCCCTTGGAATGACAAAGGGCTTTATTTTCTCATTCCAAGCAACACATTTCTTGTATCTTTCTTGAATTAAGACTAAGTGGCTTTGTCCCATTGGAGAATCTTGTTTTAACACAGTCAGAATTAAGATAAAAACCACTAAAGTGAAGAAATTATTACCTGATATTTTCTTATGTTTTGCAGTGTACAAAGTGCCGCCTTGCTAACGTCTTGCTAACATGTGTAAAATCTGGCTTGTAGATGGTGCCTTTTTGCTGTGTTGCCGCTGAACCATGAACTGCACCTCTAACGCCACTCTCCACGGTCCACAGCTGGGACTCGCCCTGAGCCCCGACTCCGGATCAGGTACGAGCCAGGCCAGCGGAGGGGCTAGCAGCGGCGGCGGCGGCAGTGGGGGTGCGAGCGGTGGCGGAGGCGGAGTCTGGGTGACCTCCCTCCTGGGCGCCACCCTGATCACCATGTGCGCGATCGGCGTGGTGGGGAACCTCTACACTCTGCTGATAACTCGCTCGGCCGCTTTGAGACGCACGGGTTCCATGTACGTCTACATTGTGAACCTGGCGCTCGCCGACCTCCTCTACCTCTCCACCATCCCCTTCGTGGTCTGCACCTACTTCGTCCACGACTGGCTCTTTGGCGAGACCGGTTGCCGGGTCCTGCTCAGCCTCGACCTCCTCACCATGCATGCTAGCGTCTTCATCCTTGTCGCTATGAGTGCGGAGAGATACCGCGCAGTCGCCAAACCGTTCACCGCCCATCGTTCCTCATCGAGAAACCGGAAAGTGGTCGCAGCCTGCATCTGGGGGACCTCTTTCATCCTGACTCTGCCCATGATGATTATGATAAGGCTTCGCGAAGGCAAACCCAACCCCTTTGGATCGGTTAAACGGATGTGCTACCCGACCTGGACTCCTGACGCGTTCAAAGTCTACATCACAATACTGTTTCTCACCAGCGCTTTACTTCCTGGTTTGGTCATCGTTGCGCTTTACTTAGGACTAGCGCAGAGGTATTGGGCCGTGCAAGCTCAACTGGGAGCCACAAACCGCTCGGCCAGACGGAAAGGCCTCAAACAGAAAGTCGTGTCCATGATTTTTAGCATCGTTGTTGCGTATTGGGCTTGCTTCTTACCGTTTTGGGGGTGGCAGCTAGCAAAACTGTTCTCGCCAGAGTTGTTGAGGACCCTAACTCCGGCTACACATAACTACATCAACTTTTTTGTGACTTGTTTGACGTACGGCAACAGCTGTATCAACCCGTTCCTCTACACGCTGCTGACCAGGAACTATAAGGATTACCTGGCGCAGAAAAGCCAGTCCAACGGGTCGAGCAGAGCGGATCCAGGGTCGGCCGCCACGACTCCGCTCCACGATCTGTAGAGACGCAAGGACGGATCCAAAACAGGTGCTGGGAAAGGAACTTCTGAGGACTGAGGCTGTAGATCCAGGACTGAGGCTGTAGATCCAGGACTGAGGCTGTAGATCCAGGACTGAGGCTGTAGATCCAGGACTGAGGCTGTAGATCGAGGACTGAGGCTGTAGACCCAGGACTGAGGCTGTAGACCCAGGACTGAGGCTGTAGACCCAGGACTGAGGCTGTAGATCCAGGACTGAGGCTGTAGATCCAGGACTGAGGCTGTAGATCCAGGACTGAGGCTGTAGACCCAGGACTGAGGCTGTAGATCCAGGACTGAGGCTGTAGATCCAGGACTGAGGTTGTAGATCCAGGACTGAGGCTGTAGATCCAGGACTGTTCACGGCGCTGTATGAGAACTACTGCCTTTATCACGAGAACTACCAAAGCAGTCAATTTGACGGCTTTTAAAATAATGATTCAGCATATATATGTACATTGTTGGTCTTTGCAACTTTTTCTGTTTCTATTTTAAGTTTATTGCTATGTCATTGTTCTTTGTTGATTTTTTTTTTTAAATGAAATTATCTTTTTATATTTAAAATGTGAGTAGTTCAACCTTTAACTCCCAGAGCCGTCGATTTGACTGCTTGGCAACCCACATTTTGAACTGTTTTTGGACTGGTCTTGGATTGATCTTGGTTCTGAGCCGATTTAGCTAGTTTTTCCACCAGAAAAGAGTTACCAGTAACTATTTTTCTATATTTCAAGTTATTTTCACCAGTGTTAGCACTTTTAAAAGATTAAAAAAATGCATAAACATAAAATTGATTTGAATGGGACCCGTTAAAATGACTGCTCAGGTTTCAGATTTCTGGGAGTCCTAGTGTCAACTCGGACAGATGTAATTCTCAACATTCACCACCAGAGGGAGGTGTTCCACTACTCCTCACCCATTCTCCATATCATTTAAATATCGTCAGGATTTGCACCTTTTTGCACTTGTTATAAAACAGAAAAGCGTCTGATGGTGTTGTTGTAAATTTCTTAAAGTTGTATTTCTTTTGTGTTCTTGAGTCTTAGAAAACATTTTGTACTAAATAATAAAAAGCTGTACTACTTTGTGTGCGCAGTGTTATTCTGTGGTTAGAAGACTTCACCTTAAAGGGCAGGGACCTGAATCTCAAACAATCACACATGTAAACAATGTACGTGTGGAAAGGATTGTTTAACTCTACAAAGAAGGTAAAAATATGTTCGTTGGAAAACGGAGAAATAGATCGACACTACAAGGGTGATTACTCCGCAGATGTACTTTTATGGTTTCTGTTTCTATATATAGTTTATTACTTTGTCATTATTTTTGATGAAATGTGAGTGGATCTACTTGATAGTTACCATAGCAACACACTGTTTACAGTCAGTTAGCATTTGGTCTTTAGCATTAGCGTCCCAACAAACTGTTTTCAACTTACTGTTTATCAAGGCTTTGACTTTTGCACCAAAATATTTGAAGTTTGTTTGTTTATGAATTTAAATATTCAGATATATTTGAATATTTGATCATAAAGTATCACACGCTCCATTGATTCGAATGTCATTTCAAAACGTTCTTCTGTCATTATGTTAAAAATAAGAAACAAAGAAAGTACCTTCAGGGTCAGGTTCGCCCTGTCTGGACTTATTTTCTGTCCATGACCTGCGTCCTACACATTATCGAGCTTATTATACGGCTTTGTACCAATTAAACACAAAAATAAACTTCAGTCCACTTTTATGAAAGCCAAAAGGGTATATTGTTCCTGTGTTTAGGGGACACCAGGATCTGACCTGAGGGCTTTCAGGGAATGGATGGAGAAAATATCTAGTAAAAAAAATATATATATATATCATATGTGGTGACTTTAATATTAATCTATTAAATCCTCAAACACATAAACACACAGATGAATTCATAGACACCATGTTTCTTTTGCAACATTTTAGACGCCAGAGTTCCTGCTGGTTATTGATGTCAGTGACCACCGTCTTCATGGTTTATGACATCGACAGTAAAATACCTAAACATGTGACAGCTTTCGTAGAATTATATCACAACAATCAATAATAGATCTGAAAATTGAACTGGGAATCCATTTACCAAATGTCTGATGTAAATACAGCTTACAACTTGTTTCTGGATATTTTTGCGACACTGTACGACAAATACAGTCCAATCAAAAGTGCACGACAAGTCACTGCACAAAAACTCCCTGGATATCGAAAAGGCCGAACTCTTGTAAAAAGAAAACATATCTGTACAGACTATTCTTTAGACACAGAACTACAGAGACTGAACAAAGGTATGAACGATACAAAAACTGATGTATTAATTAAAAAGAAGAATGATATTAAAAGAATTTGGAAAGTATTGAACATGATTATTGGTCATGGTTCTGGCAGGCCTAGTTATCCAGAGTACTTTGTGGAGGACGACACTATTATAAGGGACAAAACAATGATCGCAGATGGTTTTAAATGTTGGCTCAGAAATGGCTAAAAGAATCCTTGCTAACAACGAACAGCCAAAGGGACTCATTGAAACCAACTCAAACTCCATGTTCCTCACTCCCACAGACGAGAAGGAAGTCCTGAATGTACTCAGAAAATCAAGAAATAAACAACATTGACTTGAAAACAGTACAGAGTGTTGCTGAAGAAATTGTTAAACCATTTACACACATCTGTAACTTATCTTTCCAACTCTGTGATTTTTTCCACCCAAATGAAAACTGCAAAAACGACCCCATATTGAAATCAGGAGACAAACGCTGTTTCACCAATTATCGGCCAATCTCCCTTCGTCCTCAGTTTTCCAAAATATTAGAAAAAAAACAAGACTCTGTGGGTTTATTGAAAGGCATAATTGATTGTCTGACAGTCAATATGGGTTTAGGCAAAATAGATCTACATCACTTGCTCTGATTGACTTAGTAGAGGAGATCACAAATGGAATCGAAAAAAAATAATTTGGAATTTTCATTGATCTTCAAAAGGCGTTCGATACCATTGATCATGATATCTCGATAAAAAACACTGGAGGCCTATGGTATAAAGGGATTTGCAAATAAATGGTTAAAAATCAATGTGTATGCAAACTGAGGGAGCAGCCGGAAAACTGCAGACTGGAGAAAGAGACACTGGACTTAGTGAAAGTCTGCGAGCGTCTGTTTCGAGACGGAGAGGTTTTGAGGGAACAGATGCATGCGGCGATTAGGGAAAACCAAGAGCTCTAACCTCACAGAGATTGAGGCGAGAGCAGAGAGGGACGAGGCAAGTGAGAAGCAGCCACTTGCATCGGAGAACCGTGGACAGGCGCCAACGGAAGATGAACCCATTGGTGAATGTATCGCTGATGTGTGGGAACAGGTCTGACTTACTGAGAACGCAGCTCTGACTCTGGTCTTACAGGGACCAGGCCCTCAGCAGAGGACCCTGGACCCCGTACTCCCGGAGAACCCCCCAATAGAAGCCAGGGGAACACGGTTGAACGCCTTCTTCAGACCCACAAAGCATAAGTGGACTGAGGTGAACTCCCATGATCCTCGAGTACCCGATGGAGAGGTCAGAGCTGGTCCAGTGTTCCGCAGCTAGAACTTCAGGGAGACCAAGGCCAGAGATTCTGCTCCTTTTCTGATCTGGTCTGAAAGATGGAAATGTAAACTTGTGTGATCCTCGTCCTAGAAGTTACTGATGACTCCAGTCTTTCCAGTCTTTGGTCTGTCGCAGCTGCAGCTTTAGAATCTCCGGCTGAGACGACCTGGGACTCATGAGAATCTTGGCATTTGGACTTGGGTTGAGGGGGATCTTCTACTTTCACTGCTACTTCCTTCTTTACATGTGTGATGGTGAGCCAGGCCAAGGTCAGAGGGTAAAGGTGAGAGGAGCAGGGACTTTGGTTCAGGGGTTAAGGGAAGGCTTTTGTGGCCATTCTCTAAAACACTAAGATTTTAGGAAGTGGTCCAAACCCTGAGCTCACCATAACTAAGTTAACTGTTCTTCTCTGACCTGAACCCTTCGCTGAACCTGATCCTGAATCTAAATCACAAATGGAAAGAAAGAAAGAGCGTTGAATGATATTTCCCTGAGCTCGGGATGAAAAGCCAGGATTCCACGGATCCCCAATAGTTTCTCTGGGGAGACTGGAGCAGGAAGACCATGGACCAAAGGCTGGAGGACAGAGGTTTCAGAGATACAGCTCTGACTGCAGACGCTGCTCCCTCTGAGCAGGACCAGGATCACTACAGTTACTTTACTTACTTACTTAGTTACTCAGACCAAGATCCGGAAAGTCTCTGAGCTGGAAGCTCTAAACTTTAGAGATTTGTCTCAGTCTTTCACTGAGACTAAAGACCTCATGTTTAAGGCTTAGAAGATTCTTTTAGACAAAAGCTAAACGAATGAACGACCTCATGTTTTGGCCCAAACATTTGGTCGTTCAGCAGTATTAGTTTTCTTTCATTTTTGTCTTATTAAATGAACTTTCTAAGTCTTAGACACTTACTAACATTTTTCTCTGAGGTTCTTTCTGACAACAACAGGGCGGCACGGTGGCTGAGTGGTTAGCACTCTGCCGACTCACCAAGAAGGTCCTGGGTTCGAATCCCGGTCAGAGCAGGGCCTTTCTGAGTGGAGTTTGCATGTTCTCCCCGTGTCTGCGTAGGTTTCCTCCGGGTACTCCGGTTTCCCCTACCGCTAAAAACATGGACATTAGGTCAAATCCTGACTTAAGGAACCAACAGCAGAGATTGGGACTCGAGCTGCTGTCGACCATTGGCTGAGGATTATTTGAAATAAACTTTAATGGACTTATTAAATTCAATAATTTACAAACATGTTTTTATTTCATTTTTCTGTCGTTATAGAATTATAGCGTCATGAACCTCTTCTTAGCAAGTTTCTCTCCCCTCTCACCTGCACATGGACTGTCCCAACACTCTCACCTCGTGTCTCTCTGGTCCCTGGTCTCATGGTCTCTGGTCTCTCC